TGGGAAAAGTTAATTTGTTTTTCCAAAAGTTACACGTCGACTGATAGCATTTGGTCAGTGGTGCTCGACCACGATAGATATTGGTTGGTGGTGGTCGACGACGGTCGATGTTGGTCTGCGGTGGTGGTCGACAACGATCCACAATGACAAGGATGGTGCTGGACTTGCGTAATGAGAGGGGTTGGGCTCAATTTATAGTATATTGGGAGCAATTAATGTGGGAATATGAACCACTTTGATCGGACGGTCCAGAGAGTTTTCTTCAATCAGATTGTGTTTGATGGACATTTCGATGCCTTAAAAATGTCGAAATTGAGCAATCTTGAGCTTGTTGGATTCGTCTTTTCGAGACACTCGATTCTATTATGAACTAGCAGGATTCGACTTCTGTTTAACCTTCCAAATGTGTCTGAAAGATTTCCAAACTTGGTTTGATGGCTTGATGAGGGCTCGAATTAACTCATATTGGAATAATTTTGATATCATTGGGTCTATCTCATTGAGCTGACCAATTTGACTATAAGTTTGCTGAAATCAGAGCTCTGGATGACTCTCAATAAATGTTTGCATGTTTCTGGCTCAAAAAGTTCCCTCGAGATTCGTGCTTGAAAATTTATTAGTGGAGTATCAGTTGCCCCATATTTTCGGGTGAGTCCAATTTCGTTGTCCAAAAATATCCAAATCTAGAGCTTTTTTTATTTTTATCAGTATATATATATATATATATATAATAAACAAAAATCAATGCAATAATTCACACCCAAAAGTTTATATGTAAGAAATGGGTGGATGGATTTGACAAGCAGTTTAATTTGATTCTGTAAATGACAATGTGGATGAGCCTTACATGATCCTTTCTATTTTATATATTTTAAAGCTCTTTAGCGGATTAAGAATGTGGGATTTATCTCGTGAATCGGTTTGAGTGTAAGATTTGCTGTTTGTATTTTGTTGGTTTGGGTGATTGTTTTGTTTTTATGTTGTCCGAGCTAAGTGAATGTGTTTGTGCATGGTTTGCAGTAAGGTTGGATTATATAAATTGTTGAAGATTAGGTTAATGATTGTTTTTTAGTCGATCTTAAACCTGATTATTAGCTTAATCACAGATTTTTTTTGAGTAAAGCACTTTAATTAGCATGGTAGTTTGTCAAAGGTTGAAAGGTAAAATTGTTGAGGTGTGTAAGAATGGTGAGGGATGATTGTTGTTAAGTTAATTGTTAGTGGCAATATAGCTTTGCTTATGGCTTTTATTACTTAAGTTGGATTAAAAGATAATTTCAAAAAAATTTTTTGGAAAAAGATGGATAAATAATTATTCCTTTTGTTGAGCCCTATAACATTCCTTTTCTAACACAATTCTCCTCTCCCATAAGAGTTCAACTTCTTACTTTCATATTTCCTATTTTCATTTAGGGGTTGTTTGGTTCCTTGCAAAAGGAGTGTGTTGATGCAGTGTAAAAAAATGCATTTGTAATTCATTCTCTAGTTTATTATTATTATTATTATATATATATATATATATTGAATTCAATGAATTTGGATAAATTTTAAATACACCACTGTTTAAACTGTGAGATGTTGTTGTGGGTCGCCACTAGTTCACCACTTCCCACCTGTTGGTAGCTGACCACGATCGCCCGCTCTTGTTTGTCAGTCCCTGCCACCATCTGCTAGCTGCCACCTTGTCTCCCCTATGTTGTCGACCACACACTTGCTACATCCCATCATTAGCCTCCACCATATCTCGGCTGCCAGTCGCCCACCTGTAGGTGTTGCCAACCACAATTGTGAACTGTGGCTAGTCGTCGTTGCCGCCACTCTGCTACAGGCTACTTCTTACCGCCAGTCCCTACTGATCGCAACTCATCACCTGCCAATTGTTGTTTATGCCACCCGCTGACCATGTAGTTTACATTGAATTTGTTTTGGCTATCATTCTTCAATTATATTTTATGACAACTATTCACCTTAATATATACTAATTGTTTTGAGAGCTTCACCTTACTAATTCTTATGCTCGTCATTCTTATCTTCCTCAGAATTCCCATCTTGCTCATAAACATCATCCTCTTCACCATTAAAACAATGCACGTGATTCTTAATATGATCATTATGCTTATTATTATCCTCAAAACCCATGGCACAATTGGCCACCAACCCCACCACTATCAAAGGCACCTTAACTTCAATTCCTTTTTTTCATGGTTATGTCTTTGATGAATCTCACAAACAACATATGTATTCTCTACTTGGGCTTATTCATACTTCTCTCATGGAAATTCATGTTAATGTTGATTCTGTTAGTGCTATATTTAAAAGAATTAGATTCTAATCTTTCATTTGCCCCTCCCCAAGCAAAGTCACTTAATATCCATGAAGATGTTTATAATGGTAATCCATTCGCTGTTGTTGTTGATGATGATGAGTTTGATTTACATGAGGGTACACATGTTCCCATCCCATAAATTCAAATCTTACCAAGGCCAGCCTTTGCTAATGGGTCGTTTGGAATCACTTTTGTTTTTTATTTTTTATTTTTTATTTTTATTTTGTTTTGAAACAAATCATATTAAGCTATTTGATTAAGGTATGATTGTTTTTGAAAACACTCAGAAACAATAGAAGCAGGCTTGAGATATTTCTAACTAGAACTCTTAAAGAATTAACCCTCAAGAAATCTAAACTTCATAAAATTACAAGAAAGATAAATGCACTTTTTTGGAAGTAGATTCTTAATGTGTCAAACTTAACATTCTATAATGAGAAGTTTTAAATGCTTTTATTTTCTCCAAGGATAGTACCGACTTGTCAGTTGATATCGTCTCATCTTCTTGACCATTACCTCGAGTCCTAAATCTTTGACTAAGATTTCATGTAGGTTTGTCAAAAAAACTCGTGTTCGGCTTGCTAAGAAGCTTATATTTGAATCGTTGGTTAAGCAAGCCGAACACAAACAAATTGTTTAAGCTTGAATTAGAAACGAGCACACAATGAATAACCCTTTGTTCAATTATGTTCTACTCATTTTAGCTCAAAATAAAAAAAAAATACATATATTATTTATATAATATATATTTACATCTAAGTTTTAAATCAAATAGCTTGTGTGGTTATGTGATTTTGTATTTTTTATTGCATAGAAATGGTGTAGGTTAGAATCCAACACCCAATCATCTATTTTTCTAATTTCTTTAAACAAGTCAATTTCGAGCTGAACACAAACACATTGCTCAAAGGCAATTTCGAGCATAATTAATTTCAAACGAGCAGAACACGAGCTAAGCCTGAGCTCGCTCAAGCTCGACTCATTTACAACCCCTAGTTTCATCTAAGATGGGAGAGCCAATGAGTCCTTACCCAATGTGTTACACTCATGTCTTCCAAGGATCATAGATGATTTGACAATCTGTAGTAGCCTTATCCTCCAACAATATGCAGGTGCTGAATTGCAATGTTGCTGTTTCTTTCTTGGAAGATTTACATACACCCCACTTAATTCTTATGTATTCACACACCTAAACTTCAATTTTTACATATACGCCTTCTTACTTATGCATGAAAAGATGTATTTCACTTTTTGAAAAGTTAAAATAACGGTATTTTCTTACGCGATAAGAAATATTAGTATGGTATAAATGTAAAGAGTAAAGTTTAGTTAGATATATGTAAAAGTACATAAGAATTGAGTGGTATATATGTAAAAGCCCCTTCCTTGATGATGTGGATATTGTGCCATTAGTGTCATCTTGAGGTTGGTTCTTGCTAAATACACTCTGGTTGTCTGTATTAACAGTTACAGGAAAGCTCACAGATGAGCTCTAACTCAACTGATTCATCAGAAGCTTTTTCATTTGCTCTGTCGTTTCTGCCTCATTTTCCATTAATTCTGTTTTGCCATCAAATAATTGATACTTTTATCATAAAAACCCTGAGGTTGCTTGTGTGAAAACAATTTACTTGATCTGGGTAGATTTGGCATATTACTTGTGGAATTATACTCGTCATTCATACATTTTACTTGGGAGCTAAACATATACAGTGGAATCCCCAGCATTTCAGTCTTCAGGAACATATACATACATTCCATTCATTTCTTATGTAGTTACATATCTAACCCCTAAATCTCATTTGTTTACATATATACCATATCACCTTGCCCATGCATGAAAAAAGCTGTATTTTGCTTCTTAAAGGTTAAAATGATAGCATAACTGCAAGCAGCAAAGTTGCTGTAATTTTGTCAGATGGCCTTTCAGAATATGGAGAAATGCTTGGTTTGATTGACAAATTGCAATTATATATTCACTAAAAGTTGAAAGTTGAGATTTTTTTTGAAGGGCATGAAGCAAAATCATAACTTGATGTGGAGTTTTTCACAAAAGAGAAGAAATGTGCACTAACTTTAGTTTTTGGGTAAACACATGCTAACTTTCTTTTTTCTGAAATTGCACATGACACCTTTTTTTCCCATGGTGTGGTAGAAGATATTTTTCATGCTTTATTTTATTACATATTATTCTAACCTTAACTCAACACATTGGTTAATCTAACAATCATGGTCTAGCTTTCCCCAATTGACTTTTTTTCTTTTTTTTTTATTTTTCTAAAATAATAAGGATTATGTAATATTACATTCACATGGCATGGGCCCACATGAGTTAAATTTCCATCACTTAAATATATATATATAATATAATTATCAATTTGTAGTGATGAAAAAATTCAAAAAAAAAATTTTTTCTTTTTTAAATACTTACATTGATGTGGAATTAATACAATAATGAAGGATGTGAATGAAATAACTCCACTGCCAATTTTTTAAATGTGCAAAATATTCCTTTTATTATGAAAATTTTAATATATTTTCACTAACTTGACATTGGAATCTTGGTTATTGCTTAACCATAGTTAAAAATGGGTTTGCAAAATAATTTATAAAAGGGGTAGAATGTCCTCTTTGCCCTTTGCCTCTCTGTTGCCCTCCTTCTACTTCTCTGGTTTTAGCAGTTTTCCTTAGGTCTAAGACGGACTTTTCAAAAAAAAAATTTTTTTTTTTCTTTTTATTTGATCTACTTTTTTTTTCCAAGTTTGGTGTAAAAAAAAAAAAATTTTTTTTTTCAGATGCAGGATTTCTGATCGCAAGCAGCATCCAGAATTGATCAGCAAGCGTGGATTCGCTGCAAACGGGTAAATCTTCTTGCTTTTTTCAAATTATGTGGAGCTTCTCGCAGAATTTAATTTCACTGTCATGGCCGGAGTACGGAGATGGAGTGCTTAGGGTTTCGACGTTTTTGCTTGTGATGGCGGCTCATTGATCTTTTCAGAAGCTACAGAACTGTTTTTCGTTCTTATTTTCATGATTTTTTTTTTTTGGTGTTTTATTTGTGTCGTTTACTGTTTTTAGTGTTTTTACTGAAGAATTTTTTGCTTTTTGAGGATTCATTGGCAGTCAAGCTCATGTTTCAGATTCAGATTTGAAATTCGCTGCTTCTGTGATTCTTCTGATGCTATGAATACTGTCATTTTGAGCAAGTCTACTTCTTTCATTGCGTTTGGATTCATAAAAAGCTCCTTCATTTTACGCGCCTTTTTTTGTTTTTTGGGATCAATTTTAGTTCGCCATACTGTTCCTCGTTTGATCTCCTCGAGATTCAGAAACCCTAACTATGTTTCTGCGAATTCTGATTTGCTTCCTTTTTTCCTGTTACTATCTGCTTAAAGGTGACAAATTTGCAGAGCATAGGAGTTCAACTTTAGCAGAAGTTGATTTAGTTGGTTGAATTTGGCAATGGAATCCATTAGGGATGAGGCCTTACGGATTAAAGAGCTTGCCGAAAAGAAATTTATCGAAAAGGATTATGTAGGTGCGAAGAACTTCGTATTGACGGCACAGAATCTCTTCCCCTCGCTCGACGGAATCAGCCAAATGATAACTATCTTAGATATTTATCTCGCATCAGAAGCTAAACTCAATGGGGAGAAGGATTGGTATGGAATCCTCCGTGTTAATGCTTCCGCAGATGAAGAAACAGTGAAGAATCATTACAGGAAGCTGGCTCTTATGCTTCATCCTGATAAGAACAAGTCTGCAGGCGCCGAGGGCGCTTTCCAGCTTGTTTCTGAGGCTTGGAGCGTGCTTTCTAACAAAAATCAGAAAATGGCTTACGACCTGAAGATATACGGCAAAAGTTCTCATCAGCGAAGTCTGCAAGATAATAAGGATTCTTCAGCTCCAGGTTTCGATTGTAATGGATTTTACCAGTTTTCGAACAATGTTACTAATAAGAAGAGAACGAAGCAGAGCAGCTCTACAAAGCCTCCCTTGTGTCCCCCACTTCAGACATTTTGGACCTCTTGTGCTGCCTGCTGTATGCAATATGAATACCACAGGATGTATCTTAACAAAAGTCTGCTATGTCCCAAATGCAAGCAGCCATTTTTAGCCACGGAGCTGCCTGCTCCACCAAGTGGACTTGGTAATCCTCTATGGTCCGTTAAACAGCAAAATCAGAAAGCGAAACATAGGAGCTCGTATAAGAATGCATCTAGTCATTCGGGAATGGGAGCTTCGGGTTTCCAGCATGGATCGAGTAACGAATTATTTGCTAATCAGAACATCCAGTGGGCACCATTTTCTGGAGCTGGCACTAATGGCCTCTCTTCTGGTACTAATGTGGTTCATCAGGAATATAAAGTGAAAAGGCAGCGAGAAGAAGCACATACAACGGTTAAATGGGAGGAATCGCAATCTATGCACAAAAAGTTGTCACGGAGGGCTGAAATTGGTTCTGGAAGTGTTAATACTGTAATTGTGTCGGATAATCATGCAACTAAAAGAACAGGCACTGGAGATGATTTGGGAAACAACAATTTTGTAGATAAGGTTGCCTCAGATATGGGATGTAGCAGAAATACTGTTTCGGAAACAGAAAAAGGCAGTTGGTTTTATAGCAATTCCCTTAAATCTAGATTGAACTCGAGGTCTGCAAACTTTAACAGAGCTTACACCCATGTGGATGTTCGAGCAATATTAATAGAAAAGGCTAAGGATGCAATACTGAAGAAACTTAGAGAATTAGATTTAGCTGATGCTGCAAAGGCTAAGGATAATGATAGGATGAGGAAGAAGACAAAGCTTAAAGATGTTAAATTGACCAAATTAGCTGATAGAAAAAATGCAAAATACAAAGTTCAGCGTGATTCTGCTAATTTTCAAATTATTGGAAGCTCAAGGGGCAGCAAATTTGGTCCTGTAAAAGAACTTTCCCAAAAGAATTTTAGTGATGATCCACGCAAGCAAGTAAATCACCATTTAACAATAGATGTTCCTGACCCAGATTTTCATGATTTTGATAGTGATCGAACCGAAAATGCTTTCGAAGCTGATCAGGTATGGGCTACATATGACGATGACGATGGCATGCCTCGGTATTATGCATTTATTCAAAAGGTTTTATCTGCTAAGCCTTTCAAGGTCCGTATGAGCTTTCTCACATCAAAATCCAATGTGGAGTTTGGGGCCTTAGATTGGGTTAGTAGGGGCTTTCCCAAAACATGTGGAGATTTTAGAGTAGGGAGATATGTGGTTGCCAATAGGATTAATATTTTTTCACACCGTGTTAAGTGGGAAAAAGGATTCCGTGGAGTAATCAAAGTTCTTCCAAGAAAAGGTGATATTTGGGCCTTATATCGAAATTGGAGTCCTCATTGGAATGAGCTTACTCCCGATACTGTGATCCACAAGTATGAAATGGTGGAGATACTTGAAGATTATGATGAAGATGAAGGAATCTCAGTGGTACCCTTAGTGAAGGTTGCGGGATTTAAAACTGTTTTTTTACGGCATATGGATCCAAAAGAGAATAAGAAGCTACGAAAAGAAGAAATGTTTCGGTTTTCGCATCAGGTGCCTTCTTATTTGCTTACTGGTGAAGAGGCTCATAATGCTCCGAGGGATTGCCTTGAGCTGGACCCAGCAGCTACTTCTCTGGAGCTACTTCAGGTTCTCACAGAAACAAAGGATGAGGATGCAGTGAATGATGATGAAAGGAAGTTGGCTGATAATGGAGTTTCTTGGTCTGATTTCTGTTCTAATGTCTGTGATTGATGCTTATTATTCATCAACGGTTAGGGATTTGCCAACCTGTACTCCTATTCGGCTTTGTGGGATATCTCAGGATCATTTATCATTATTTTCGGGTGTCTAACTTGAATTTAATTCGCTGTACAAAGTTGTTTAGGAGTAGAAGGTATCTGAAGTCAGCTTGTTTAAGATCATTCATTCAAATGATGGAGTTCTGGTGTCCCTCGGGAAGTCATTCTTCCGCTTATCGTAGGTAAGTTTTATAATCACATAGCGACATGATTGATCAGCCAACATAGATTATTCTCATAATGAACGAACATTTTCTTCTGCTTGTAGCGAAAAGCTACTCTATTTTCTAACAAAATACTAGAATCAGCACAGCATATAGTTTAATAAATTGAAAATTGCATTTTTACTCCTGCGCTGTGAACTATATGCATGCAAATATATGTACATTTGTATACACGAGCTTATTGACGAGCCTGTTATCTTGGAACAATGTGAAGTGGTGCGCAACTTGTTTAATTGCCATTCGTGCTACCATTTTACCATTACTTAAAAACATTTCTTTATGATATGAAGAAGTTCATGCTTATATTGTTTTGTTTTTACTTATCTGCAATGCAAAAACAATTTAATTTCAATGAATTTATTTTCCGTAAAATCAAGTCATATTTATTCACCCTTTTAAGGCAATTCGTACTCAACCCTTCACTTATGTTTCATTCATTAACTTTTAACTCAGCAACAAACCAAATAACTGTCGGTAAACTTGTCCAAGATTATTTGCTCTTTATTTATTTCTGCCTTTTTTTTTACCAATAGCTCGTTGGATATGCATGCAAATGCCTCTTGATTACCTTTTCAAAGCCTATTGTTCACTTAAAACTCAAGTGTCAAAATAGTCCTCAAAATAGTCCTCTGACTATTTACGTTGGGTCATTTTAGTCCTAGAGTTTATAACTGTCTTAAATTAGTCCTCAGATTATTTTAATGAGGCAAAAATAGTCCTCTATGGGGACTAATTCAACCCTTATTGAAAGAGTCTAGGACTGAATTAATATTATTATAAACTCTGCGACCCCACTAAAAAGAGTCAAGAGACTACTTTGACACTTTTCTCGTTAAATCTTCATACATATTCAAATGTTCTTGCTATTATCAGTTGTATTCGTTAGATCGAGCATGATTCCTTACTTTGTTATCCATTTTGTTATTCTAGTCGAGAGTGATACTGTGCATTCTTGTTCGGTTATAGCTGGAGCAATGCCATATTTTTGTAGCATGGTGCTCTTTTCGGTATTGCTGAGTTTTTCCATGTGATTTTTCTTAATAATCTTCATTAGCATTTAACTATTTCTCATTTCTAGATCGTGGGGATGAAAGCCCAAGTGAAATTTACATGATAAACCTGCTCTAGTATTTTCTTATCAATTTCAAGTGAAAGTGCCTTGCTTTTTACTACTATTTATCAGTTATTTCAAATTAGAATTATAATTTGTGGTTTTGTATATTTTTTAATATGATATAAGAGGTATGCTACACTTTTTGTATTATTTTGTAGCTATATCATCCATGCAGTTTCTCTAAACTCCCAATTGCTTTAGAATTGAGAATGCCTATTTTTCATGCAAATTTTTATTAGCTAATTTAATGCCTATGCTTCAAATTATATCATTCAGAAAAAGTAATAAATGATGGTGGCTTATGGGGCTAAAAACTCCTTGCACGATTTAGAAGTATTTAAGAGGCACTCTGCTTTAAACTTTCAACTTCTAGTTTTTTCAAAAGACTTCCATCATACTTAGGAAGGTTGAGTTTTTTTTTTTTTTTTTAAATAATCTATCATGTGTAAACAATGCATGAGACAATCCTTTCTCAGCACTGATTGCTTTGGGATATGGCTAAGGCTCTGTTTGCGGTGGTAGTGCGGCACCACACTGTTGTTCTCAGCACTGAAAAAACTGTTGCTGAAACTAGTATTTTCCCACCGCTTCTGGCTAAGTGCGGTGGTAGCTTTCTAGTTATTTGTCTTTTTAAAAAAAAAAAAAAAAAAATTTGAATAGCCACCACAACTTTTTGCAATATCAGATTATTCTTCAGCAGCTTTACAGTGCTCCAAACGGAGCCTAAATTTCCAAGCCGTGTTACTTAAAATTATAATAGGGTGTCTCATTATTTAGTTAACAAGGGTGAGTCTATAATAATTTTTTATGTGGTTAATGATTGTAAAGCATCTGATTCAATGCAGTAATTGAAGCCATATTTGTATGTCACGATTTAGCCCTGGAGATTGTAATTTTCAAGGCACGAATAAACACGAACGTTGAAATTCAATTCTAATGTCAATTACTATAAAAAATATTTGATCATATGAGTAATCAAAAGAGCCATTAATGATTTGAAATTTAATTAAACACAAGTAAAATAATTGTGCATTAAATTATTATTCTCTCATTTGGCTGTCATCTATAAATGTTATTGTTACTTTCATTTGTTTTCTAATGTTAAGATTTAAATATAAAAATATTAGTTTGAACATTAAGTGATTAGTAAATATTTATATTTCTAAACTACAGTAACATAACAGAAAAGAAAAAAAATGTATGCTAGTTAATATAATGATTCAGCATAAAATAATTGGCTATTCATTATTTTATTAGAATCATTCAGAAAGGTTCAAAATATTTTATTACAGAACGCATATTATCTTATTTTGCGGATTTTTCTGTACATAATTTTATTATAAGCTCATACATTATTATTATTATTATTATTATTAGACTTTTAACCTTATAACTTTTTATGAAATGTGACATTAAATTTTCTATTTGATAACCTATATTCAAAATGTGTGAATTACATTACAATTTGCTGGAAGGTATAATTGATTTTGTGAAACTTTGAGCGTTGCATTCCATTAAAGAAGTTAGGAGTATCTTAACATCATAAGCTTCAAAGAGAATGCATAGTTGTATAGTTCTGTACTGCTATTGTGATGTTCAATGTTCATAACATAAAGACCCGAGCTCTCTAACAAAGATAAATAAGCTGTTTTATGAGGGCATTATCCATAGTAATGGATTATTAGTATTGAGAAAGTATAGCTTACCATGCATTGAATGTTATACGTATATTCGAAAAGCGATAACGAAGACAAGCATTGGCAAGTGGAGATAAAATTTTTTTCATGATATAGTTATTGCGGACGAATCTTTTATGTTTTCATGATTTTATTAGGAAGCGATAAAAATCCATGATGCTTTTTTATGCCTTAATTGGTTGTTGTTTCTTCACTTCATGATTATACCTGAAAGCAAGATTTTTATAAACCATATTTTACAATGTTCTCCTTGATCTATTGTAAATTACATTCTCCTGCCTTCTAAGATTGCTGGAGGGCTGTCAGGGGGAAATTGATTTGATTTGTCATCCATTTTGGATGAAAAAGTAATTGGTGAGTGCTGTTCTTCAAAGTTTCTACCAAAAGGGGACCATAAACATAGGCATCATACCTATTAATTACATCTATAAGTATCATGGTTATTGACTTAAATGTTGCTAATCAAGAAGATGCTATGGCATAATTAATCTCTTTCCTCTTGGATTTCAACAAACATCTTAAATCTCCTCTAGTTCCTTAAATTTTGCTAGTTGGTTCAAATTGTATATTTTTGTAGGAAAACTTACGTACATACATGAGTGGATATCATGGTTATTGACTTAAATGTTGCTAATCAAGAAGATACTATGGCATAATTAATCTCTTTCCTCTTGGATTTCAACAAACATCTTAAATCTCTTCTAGTTCTTTAAATTTTGCAAGTTAGTTCAAATTATATAGGAAAACTTACATACGTACATGGGCGGAACTAACCTCTTCTTTTTTTTACGGGGAAGTGCGAATGGCTAGGGTAACGAAGAGCAAATTGATATTTCAGGAGGGGCAAAACTGATATTTCAGGAGAGGCAAAAGACCAAATTGCCCTCCCATATAAAAAAAAAAAAAAAATTAATGTGGGGGGGGGGGGGGGTCTGCCCCTGTGTACTTACCAAACAATTTTTATACATTTACATATCTAACACCTAAAGTATGATATTTATATTTATAACACCTTGGTATTAAAAACTTGTATATGAAAATGTGCATTTAACTTTTGATAAGGTAATGATAGTGATATTTCTGATGTGATGTCAAAGATTTGAGTGTTACGTATGTAAATATGAACTTTTAGGTGTTAGATATGTAAATATATAAGAATTGTGTGGTATGTATCTAAATGCCTCATTTTTTTTATCACTCAGTACACCATTTGTTATCAGATGTAGAATATTGTGCTAATCCAGTGCAGTCAATATGAATTCTTATCTCAACATAGCTTGATTAAGACCCAATATTGGATGAACATCACAATGCTTATGTGGTGGAATTGGACCAGAACTCTGCAGATAAATATATTAGACATAGTTTTCAATTGGGAAAAAAAAAATCATAGGAGCTGTTGCAGATTTTATTCTATTATATTTATTTTTTTTATTTCTTCATATTTTTATTTGAACTAAAATATATTTGGTTATGATTATCATCTTCAAAAACATTAAAATACATAAAAGTTAATGAGTTGATTTATTTTTAAAAATAGAAGGTAAAAATACGCGAAAATTGCACTAAACAAACATGTTCTTAAAACAAAAGTAAAAATAAAAAAATATTGACAAAGAGAGTCCTAGTTTTCAAGTGGAATGTGATATTTCTTGATAGTGTTTGTGTATCTTATGAACTTAAAATGAATGCAAGTAATATTGATATTAGATTGTATTAATGTTTTAAAAGGCGAAGGCGTTGGGCGGGGCGATGTAACTTTTGTATTAGATTGTATTAATGTAAGTAGATATTAATGTTTTAATAATGTTTATAAACAGATCCTAATGTTTATATGAAAGTTGACTCTGCTGCTGATGATTTTCTTCCTCTCATTGCAGCTTATTTGGATTGAAGAAAGCTTCTACCATCTTCCACCTATGGCCTTTTTCCTTTTCCTTTCTCTTTCTTTGGGTTCTTAATCAGCTGGAAGCAGGCGAAGGCTGCTGAACTGGTATCATTGAATTGTTTGATCAATAGGCTGATGACTGATTGATCACCAGTCAAGATGAGGAGGAAGAAGGCAAAAGGAATCAATCATATACACCTATTACTATTGCACTGTTGTAGAAATCCTTTATTTTTCAAATTCTTTTGCTTATTTTCTCTATATATAATTATGATTTTAGTCTGGGCTTATGTGGTTAATCTGATGAAATATTGTGCTAAATATGCTGTTGTTCAAATCCTTGGAAAAGAAGATAAAATTTTAGGAGAGTAAAATGTCGAAATACTCTGTTTTAGTCCTGAAGTTTATAAAAATGTCAAAATAGTCTCCAGATTCTTTAAATTGGTGCTGAAGTAGTCCCCCTAGAGGACTGTTAGAGCTCAATTTTAAATGATTGGGGATTATTTTGATACTTTTAGAAACTCTGGCACTGAAATGATCTCATATAATATTTAGAGACTATTTTGACACTTTACTCAATTTTACCTAAATTTTATTTTTTTACATTTATATCATCCAAATCTTTGATAACTCATAAAAGATATTATTATTTTAATTTTTAAAAAGTGAAGTGCACAATTTCATTGATTTGTATATAAAAGTTAAAGTTTAGGTGTTAGATATATAAATACATATGAATTTAGTGGTATTTATGTAAATCTTCCAAAATATTGGATTTTTCTGCCATTTTGAGAAGCTTATTTCCTTTAGTGGCCATAGAGGCTAGCAATGTTTGATTATCTGATTGGTTTTCAGAGGTCTTTTTATTTTTAGCTCTGAAATTATTGTAATGGTTTTTTTTTTTTTCATTTTACTTTTTTAAATTAAATCTTACTAATTTTAATTATTACATTTATAATATTTATTTATATATGAAAATATATTTTTTTAACTAAAATAGTGATAATTTTGATTTATAAATGTAAAAAATTAAATTTGTGTGTTAGATGTATAAAGTCTAGAAATTGGGTGGTCTGTATGTAAAATGATCAAATTACATTAAATAGGCAGTTTTATTGACTTGAAGAAATATTCATTGATATGTAAGAATATAATAAATAAAATTATTAAAAAAATAGGGTCAAATTATGAGGATATTTTTTATATAATCTTTTTTTTAATGATCAAGATTAGGAAGATTTAAATATAAGTTAATTAATTTTCATGTATTTTTACATCTAATACTTCAATTTTAATTTTTTATATATTTATCCTCTTGCATATTGGTAAAGGTTTATTTCACTTTTTACAATCTGAAATAATTATTTTTTTTACATGATATTAAAGATTTATGTGATATAAATGTAGAAGGGACGGTCGTAAAAATTGCAATGGATCGAGCCGATCGATTCGACTAGTTTGATGGTGAACCGATCATGGACCGATTCAGTCCAAGCAAAATACGATTACTTGCAAATTTGAACTGGTCAGAATCAGCGAATCGGTCCAACTTTTTATAAGAAACAGTGGATTCTATTATTGTCCAATTTAATCTTTTGATTTTGATGAATGACTAATAATAAAATATTAAAATTAAAAATAGATGAAATATCATATCTCAAAATTTGATTTAAAATATTATTCAAAATATTCAAAAATTAAGAGTACTAAATTAAAATGTTGTTTATTGAATTGATAAAAGTAACAAAGTGTATTTACATATATATCACCCACTTATTTTGTATTTGCATATCTAATACCTACTTTGATTTTTTTTTTACATTTATACCACCAAAATCATTCATATGAAATTAAAAAATACCACTATTTTAACATCAAAACAGTGAAATACACCTTTCAATGCCATTTATATAAATATAGAGGGATTTACATACACATCACTCGAAACCTTTTATTTTTCACATCTGACACCTAAAAATTTGTCTTTACTAATATAACACCTAAATCATATCACATCTTCCGTTCAACGTCGCCGGTGATGTTGGCCCAGGAAACAAGATCAACAATGTCAATCGGCAGACTTCCAGCAAAGCAATTCCCTTCCCTATTTTGAGCTGAGTTGGGGTAGGCTCAAAATTGGCTCGAATAAATTTTGTGCGGCTCGAAATCCTGGCGCCTCGTTATATTTGATATCGAGCCGAGCCGGTTCGAAATTGAAACTAGCCTGATCTAGATGGAAAAGTAAACAAGCCAACTAAAATTGCCTTATTTGGACCACTTGCTCCAAATTAAAATAACTGGCTTAAATTGAGTTATTTGGACCCATTCAACCTCGAAATTGGCTCGTGACTGATTTTATTTAATTTTACTTTGCATTATACATAAAAATTTTATAAGTAAAAGAATAGTAAGAGCAGATCTCGAGTCAATTCGAGCCGATCCATGTATGGCTCGAAATCAACTTAGAAAAAAAATCAATCCAAAGTTTCAGCTCATAGCTCTACTCGTTTATATCCAATATGAACTCCATCCAAGCCAAAAGGGAGAATCCATTTTCGAGCGATTAATGATCCTCGAGCTAAATTCACAACCCTTCCTGCGGCGATGTCAGCTTGGGAATCCAGATCAGCATCAGTGCGGTGTCTTGCCGGCATAGCAGATCCTGGATCTGCATTCATTCCTCTGTATCCTGTGAAGAGGACACTGTTTTTTGTTGGGACAAATCCATAGGGTCAAATAACCATATGTATATATATATATATATATATTGCTTGATTTACCCGTTGAACCATATAAATGGGCAAAATTACAAACTGCTCTTAAATGGTATTTCTTTCCTCGACCCTACAACAGCTCTTAAGTTGAAACAATACTTCAATGTTTATGGAGTCTATAAGCTAGACCTTTCGAATTCAAACATGAACAGACCTACAAAACTTGATGCAACTATTATTAAGAGTGCTTTGGTGTGTGCCCGAGGAGAGAAGAGAATAGGGGATCGCCGATGAGCTGCTTGTGTGCGAAGGAACCAATGCAGGCGGGTGGGCGGACTTACGGCATCGACAAAACTGGCAGTTTTGTTGATGTGAATAATTAGAAAGATTTAGGTGTCTTATAAAAACAACAACAAGAAGCTTTTATCCCACTAAGTGAGGTCAGCTACATGAATCCTTCTTCTGCATTGTTTCCTTGAGTGCCATATTTTCATGTTGTTCTAATAAATTAAAATGTTTTATTCAACATGAGTCTTTTTAGGTCTGCCTCTACCTTTCTTAACATAAATCAATTGAACAAATCTAAAACATCTATTCTCCTAATTGGATCATTAGATGGTCGCCAGTTAATATAACCAAATGTGACCAAACCATCTAACCAAACCATCTAAAGACGACTCTCTCTAATCATGTTTGCCACTGGAGCTACACCAACCCTTTCACGAATATATTCGTTTCGCATTTCGTCTCCAAGTGTAAAGCCACTCATCCACCTAAACATTCTCATCTCAGCAACACCTGACTTTGGTTTATGCTGCTCCAAGTGTTTTACAAGTAAAAACAAATTTTTAGGTGTTAGTTATGTAGATTAAAGGGTTTCAAGTGGAATGGATACATCCACCATAAATATATCGATACTATCATATATATATATATATATATATACTTAACATTTAACACAAATATATAATAAAAATTATTATAATATACTTTCAACATTGAGGATATTCCCTTCCACTGAATTTTCCTTGCAGCTCTCTTCTTTTGTCATTTTATAAATGCATGTTTGCATAAGCATAAGAACTAATAAAATAAAGAAATGACATTTTATAATTTCAAAAAATTTGAGCCAAAACATTCCGACCCAAATTTTCTCCATCATAAGGTAGAAATCAGGAATGAAAACATTAGGTACAACATTAAATATTATTGCACATTTACCTGAATATTGCAGAAAAATATGAAATCTTGATGTTGGGTGCATAAAAGCATGTCTTCCCAAATCCCTTTGCCTGCTCTTCCGTTCTACAAACAGAAGAAGATGAAAACCAGCAGTAATAAAAGCATCAAACATCAGTTCCAAAGTACCGATCGCCATACTCTCCCAGCCCAGGAATTACTCTGAATTCCTCATTCAGACCTGCGTCTATCTCTGAAGTAACTATTTTAAGGGAAGGAAATCTTTTGCAAACACAGTGAATTCCTTCAGGTGCCTGAATTGTTAATATGTCAAACTAAAAATTATTACAAGTTTTACATGCATACCGCTCAATTCTCATGTATTTACGTATCTAACAAATATATAAACTTCAATTTTCACATGTATGTCACTATATCATGAGAAGGTGTACTTCGCTTTTTAAAAGTTAAAATACTGGTATTATTGATGTAATATGAAAGCTTTGGGTGATATAAATGTAAAAAAGTAAATTTTAGATGTTAGCTGTGTAAATATATAAGACTTAGGTGGTATGTATGTAAATGCCCCAAAATTATTTTGGTGCTTTGAAATAATACTTTAAGATTAAGGGGCTAACCGATATTAAGTTGAGAAAAATAATACGGTCCTCTGGTACTCCCTTCTGGATGAGTAGCTCTATTGCTTGGTTTGCAGAGTTACCTTCAATAAAAAGTTTAAGATTTTACAATAAGAGGTATGTTTAAGATGGGAAGTTGGGATTAAATATTGCACAAATTATATCTTATAGATGACAATGCTGTAGAAAAATTAAGAAAATTGTTTAGATATGTAAATCTTGAGATGCAGCAAACTCTGAAAATTTGTGAACAGTACATGGAAGATGGTATATAGTCAGAAATTTAAAATATCATCTATGTAGCTAAAATCTACAAATAGAATGGATTGTTAATTTGTAAAGACTAAATTTTGTCTACGAAAAAAAATGTGCTGCATAGATTTAGTCGCTTGTTGACATTACCATGGTAAGATTATTGTGGGGGCTTGGAAAGTGTACAGGGAGCCTTGAAAAATGGCCCATAGTTGTATGCAATTTCATTAAGAATGTTATTAAAATTTTTTCATATTTTTTGGTTGTCCTAATTTTTTTTCTTATAAAGAGATGAGTAGTTGTCTTATATTGTAAGGGTGTCAAATCGAATTCATGTGTCAGGTTCAGATTTGATCCAAAATTATGGTGACCGGAAATTGCTTAACCCAAACCCACCTTCAACCCGACTGAAATTAATCATATCCGAATATTAAATGGGCACAAATTCTAACCCAAAATCGATCCGCCTACAACCCGACTGCATGAACCCTACTCGCATAACCAATTTAACATATGCATAATAAGTTTTTGGATTGAATTCAGGTTAATTTTGAGTCAAGTTCGGGCCAACTTCAGGTTGGTGGGTCGACCCAAACCCGACCCAAAAATTAATCAGGTCAACTCAAACCCAATTTTTTCGAGTCAAGTTGGCGTATCGGATCAACTTAGCTGCTGGCAACAACGTGGAACATTGGGATAGTGCTAGTGTTGAACTTTTAGCCACATTACCTCAATGAAGCAGTTTATCGAACCTTAGATGTTTGAAGTCAACAGAATCATCATTGAAGGTGACAAGTCCAATGTTATTTCATCTCTCCAATAGGCCACCACTACTAAAGCTTGGAAGAATCAGCCTCATGATTTAAAAGAGTTTGATTTCTTCATCACTTTCTAACAGGTTCTCTTTTCACATACCTCACGTTTTTCCAACAAGGAGGCTCATTTTTGTGCCAACTTAGCGCTTCATGATAGTTTTGTTTTTAAGCATGTATCTACTTCTAGTGAGCTTTCCATATTCAGAGACGATAGATCACTCTTTTATACATTATATGCTCTCACATGCTTACCTTTTGTAACTTTTGTTTCTATTAATGCACAATGCAATATTTCAAGGATAAATTTTTTAAATCCCTAATGTGGAGTATCAGAATAACTAGAATTGTAATTATCCACAGTCAAACATAAGAAAATCTATAAGTGCAGCAACAAAACATAACCATCAACCATCCATCAGAAGAATGCATATAAAATTCTGATATTTCTGAGTGTTGATCAACAACAACAACAAAGCCTTAATCCCACTGCGTGGGGCTAAGTGTTGATCCTTAATTTTATTTTCAACATTTTTCACTCTTGCTGTTTGAATTAGGCTTCACATATTTCCCAACATAGAGCAAAACAATTAGATATTTGAAGGTTGGTGAATTAAGAAGGTAAATCTGATTCAATCCCAACCATAATAATTTTGATTTCTGAGTAGGTGGATGCACAGAAATAAACAATTTAAACAAATTACATATTTTTCTTCAGTGGAAGACCATCTATTAGATAAAAATTTACAAATTTGCACAAATCCTCAAGCAATAAATGCAAATGCATCCAAAGTAAATTTAATAATACCTGTACCAAGGACAGGATCAAGTAGTAAAACATGGCGTTCGGATATATCATTGGGCAGCTTTTCATAAATAAGCTGATGAGCAAAAATCAGACAAATGCACGTTACAGCACAAAAATTTCAGCATAGAAATGTAATAATTGCACTAAATACTTGCCTGTTTTCCATTATCGCCATCACGATGAATAAGGATTTTTCCGATTTTTATTCCTTTACAACATGCTCGCAAGGCATTCTCCATGCTTTCACCACTGCAATCAAATCCATTGAGAATAATGATATTACATATAGCCCATTTTTAGTAGAGATGAAATATAATTTCTTACATATTTATGTACACATTTCAACAGATCTTTCAAAAATAAGTGTCATGAAAAATTTTAATTTTGATGGAAGAGTTAATAACAAGAAGTAAAGAACTAAGCTGACTTATTAGGTTTACCTTGGTCCGTTGCAACATTGAACTACTACTATAGAAAATTAGTTTAAATTCTGACAATATTAACATACGATGCAACCCAAACTGTGTTTCAATAATCAACCTTGTGCATTTTAATAAGGGGCATTTACACACATACCACCCGATTCCCATGTATTTACATATCAAACTCCTAAACCTTACCTTTTATATTTATACCACCCAATTATTTCATATCACATCAAAAAATCACTGTTTTAATATTTACAGATAACAATGGAGGAAATCCAGTAGAATTCACATCTACTTGAGTGAAAGGTTATAGTATTAATCATGAATTAAGCTTAAAACTAGACTGAGGTTTGTCAGCCAGATATAAACCAAGGAATTCATACACAAAAGGTAGCCTAAAGAAATTGGCAGACGTTAATTGAAGATATTTCCATGAATTTTTTTTGGATTTGGATGGATCAGAAAAAGTGAGTTCGTTAAAAAAGAAAAACTGATTAGCCTATTTAATAACCGATTTGAAGCTCACCTTCGTATAATAGACACTCCACAAAGTTTCTTGCAGAAGTCAACTCCTGTATAGACTGATCCTGAATTAAATGACAAGATGATGACATTATCATGCATTTATGTCGAAGGTAGAATGGCATCCTTATCAAAAATTATGAATTGAAGACAATAATTGATTTTAATGACGGTGATTTAACAATCTGAAATAACATGATCAAGGGAATATTAGGAGTTTTGCTAACTCATAAAAGTATTAACAAACACCAATTAAGAAGCTTCATGATTAACAAATGGATGACCACAGTTTATTGGCGAACTTTAAAAGGTGATTAATGTTGAGTATATAGAGACAGTGTCAAAATAGTCCCCTGGCTCTATGCAAGGGCTCGTTTTAGTCCCAAAGTCTACAAAAGTGGCAAATTAGTCCCTAAATTTTGTTAATAAGGGCTGAAATAGCCCCCACAGAAGTTTATTTCAGCCCCAATATAAAGAGTCTAGGACTAATTTTGCACTTATATACTCAAGGACTCAAATGACCACATGTAAACAATCAGTGGACTATTTTAACATTTTACTCTGGGAATATAGGACAATTACATTTGTTATTATTCATCACTATAACATTCCACTATTAGATGCATCTTTCCAGGAGTTTCCACGGAAAAAGTGCCAATTGAGAAAGAATCTGTAGATCAACAACCCCTAGCTACGAAATGATAAAAATAACGCAACAAAATGCTTAAAACCCTAAAAAATATGCCCCTAAAACTAAACCTCGAGCAGCACATTTAAGTGGAATAAAAGTGTGACAATCTCATGCAGGACAACAACAAAGTTCGTTCTTTGCTGTACCTGTTGGGGTGACCACCTGCTTCTCAGTAAAAGGCAAATGACCGAGGCCATGCTCTACCACCTGAAAAGAAAAAGCTTAGTTTAACAATTAAAACAAGAGAAATTTACACGCGTAGTAAAGCTTCATATTTACATACATAGAAGGTGTGTGATATGTAAATACATAAGGATTGTGTGCTATATAGGTAAGCATCAAATTATTCAATTTCGTTGAATGATATGCTTTTTAGTAATGGCTGGTGAGTTGACATGCATTTTACCAGCCGAATAAGTCGATCAGAATAAAAGACGAAATCAGGTGTCGTTATATCCCTGTCACGAACAAGAGTGTGCATTCCTCTTATCTGTCAATCACCGAAATTATAAATTAATATACCACAAATAGTAATCATCAACAGAAAGAATTAAGACCTGAAATTCATTATGTGACAAATAACTACACCATACCTGAAATGTAGATTGAATAACAAATACATTAGGGTAGATTTTACACAAGTCATGTTGGCCAAGTTTAGTTTGAATATGTTGAACAATTAAATCAATTGCAACGTGGTTATCACCTCCCCTAGGAATGATTACATCAGCATATTTCTTTGAAGGCAAGACAAAATCATCAAAAGCAGGCTTGACAAATTTTCCATACTGCATAACCCAAGAAAAAAAATCATATTAAAAAAACAGTAAAAGTTAGCCCTTCTGTCATTGCAAGGACTTCTGAGCTTTTTTAATGACCTACAAAGCTCAATTAATTAAAAATCAGCATGAATGAGCATCCAGTTCAAGCAATAATAAAGATCGGTTATAACAAGTTATTCATCAATGCCTTGTAACGATAGCAATTAATTGAGGGTAAGTTTTCTATTAAATGCAAAATGTCATAACATACATGGCAATTAAATGATACATATATTTAAGCATTCCAGTGCTAGGTAAAATGTTCATAGATAGAAGACAAATTATAGTGAATTAAAAGAAGCAGAATTTGAGAAAGTTTGTTGCAAATCACTACAAAGAGAAAAAATGTGCACCGAATGTGATTAGAAAGTGTGTTTGAGCATTTACTGAAAAGAAACACAATTCAATGAATTTAAGAAGAAAGAATATCCTATAAATGAGAATAATATTGAAGTTACTAGTTTAATTCAAACAGGATAATGTGGTTTTTTCCATTGGATTTGGACCGCAATAAAGTTCAATATTGGCCGCAATAAAAGCATTGATAAGAGAAGCAAAGAACTAACGTAGTAGACCCTATCACCAAACAAGACAAATTATAGTGATTTTATATAAGCAAAGTTTACTGATGCCTTGCTTTACAGCTCTACTAGAGAAGCGAACCTTGTCGTCCATTGACGCGTAACTCCATGCTGCCAAATATTTCCTTTAGCTTAAGACCTTGTTCTCTCATGGGATCTATGAAAAACTTAGTCATCTAAATTCTACTCCACCAAAACAGATGGAAACCGCCAAATACAAAAATGGCTAGCTTTCATCACATAGATGCTCAATCGCCTCAAACCCTCTGTTACCTCTACCATTATGTTTTAGGAGACTGACAAAACGATGTGTAGCTTTCTCCATTCCACTGACTTTCAGGACAGTAGTATTTCTGAACCATACAGTTCACTCCATCTTCTCTTTGCATCGAAGGGACAAACATTTTTGAGAGTACTAAAAATTTTTGAAAGGAAAATGAGAAGAATTTCAATATTGCCCCTTCATCAACAATTCAACTAAACTCTAATTTTTAGTTGCACCTCTTCAAAATTGTTTTGAGGCAAGCTCTTGTTGACCTCATTTTTAATAAGGTCTAGTCTTCCTCTTATAATTTAGGATCTAGTCTTAGGACTCTTCCTTTGACTATCTTAGACCCTTAGAAATGGAACCCACCTCATTTTAAAAATCCAAACTGCCTCTATACTCTTTTGAAGTTGCGCATGCGATTCTTGACCTCTATCACGTAGGAGATTGAAACTAACATGAGGGAACTCGAGGAACTCAAAAGAAGTTCCTATAGGATCATTAAACCCTAGGGATGCCTTTTGCACAATTTACACCTTCGCGCGCACAAACTTCGCAATTCGAAGAGTCGACACATTCGATTACTACAATTCGCATCGCTTGCACCGTTATCTGTTGAGGACTTGAATAGATTGTTGGAGACGATTGGTCTTAGCAGCTGCTCCTTACTGCCCTGAACCGTGAGCCTTACTTGTTGTGCCTTGGGTTGGTTGTGGTTGTGGTTGTGGGTCTTAGCAGTTGCTCCTTACTGCCCTGAACCGTGAGCCTTAACAATTCTTTTCTGGCTAAGCTCTGTTGACCTCATTTTTGTGAGGTCTTGTCTTCTCCTCCTTAGAGCCTAGATTCTAGCTCTAGAAATTCCTACTGACCATCTTAGAAAACTAGAATTGAAGCACAACTCACAACTCTTTTGCCAAAACTATGAGTTTTCCCCTAGGTTTTATGAGTCGGGTAGCGAGTTAAGTTGGATCTATAGATGTTTGAGGGTTAGTGGAAAGACACTTAATTGAGATTAGACACCTTAGGACACTTCAAGTTTAACCCAAAGTACAGACATCCTAGATTTTAGAAGCACAACGAGAGATAGTTTATCATTCTAATTTTCAAATGATCCTAAGAAATCCAGACATCTAATCTCAGATTAGAAGATAGGTGGGACACTAGGCACGAGGTTGCACTAGATTGTGACTCATGACTGATTTAATTAAATCAAATAATGAAATTCTTACCTTAACTTGACCAAAACTGAAACCCAATGCTCCGGGATTTGAGTTTGTCCTATATTCAAATCCTCCTGGCAATTGGGGACATTCCAATACCACATATAAATTTCTCATTCTTGGTCCTTTATATGTGGTATGGTTCATTTTATTTATTTGTCTTTTCTCTGTGATTTACCTGTTTCTATTAAGTCTTTTTCAGGTCTTACCTCCCTCTTTACACAGCAGATAATAGCTAAATTTAAAGGAGCGATGAATCTCTCAGGTGTACAGGTTTAATTTACGTTACAACACTTTATTTTAAAAGCATGTTATTATATTGTTTTCATAGCTTATTATACTATTTTTCTCAGCATGCTATACTGTCTTTTCTTTCTACTGTACACTATACTGTTCTTTTCTGTTATACTGCATGCTTAGTTACTGTGATACACTATGCCTTAGATTAGGATAATCTAGTGGTTAGGTGTATTTTCAAAACTAAAACTAAACCAGGAGGTGCTACTACAAGGAGTTTGGAGCGAACATCGTGGGCAGCACGACGAGGATCAACTTCTAGGAGGACCTGCAGCAGCAAAACACATTCACGTCACCTATCACCTTCTTTAGTTTAAATAACAACCCATAGGATCACTCTTTAGGCTTTTCGTACAACTCTGTTGTACAATTATAAGTCCTAACGCTTTAGGATTCCGAGGTTACCGTGCGGTACGGTGTAAATCCTCCTATCTTTTTAGGCTATTTGCACAGTCCGATATTGTGTAAACATAAGTCCTAAATCCTAAATAATTTGCAGGATTGAAATATCAAATAAACATTATTTCAAAGACATAAAGCCGAACAATAGGATAGTTGGGACATCTATGGGGTTTCTCCTGGATCTGTGATGTCCCCTACTTTTCTTCCCTTTGGATTCCTTAAATAATCGTTCCTACTTTGAGCCATTCCATTTTGATTTTTTCATGTCCAATCGTGAAAACCTAAACTTTGAAATCTTGAAAACAAACCACCTGATCTTAATCGAGAGTTTTCTTAAGTGATTTCGATTATTTAAGATGTAATTAACTATAGGGGTTTGTCTCTATAGAGAACCAGGAACACAGATAAAATAAACCCTATCTAATTTTTTATGTTAGGTAGGGGAACTTGTTGGCCTTTTTATAAAATATTTCGCAGACCAATATGGATGTCACAAATTCTTTAGTTTAGGTGATTGAATCTCTATTACAAGTGATATATTTATTCTTCGGGATAAGTGTATTACCCGTAGTATTGTATTCAATCATCTAAATTACTTAAATGTGAGATCCGTTTGGTCTCACCTATTTTAAAATTAAAATGTTACTTTTAAAAATAAAAAATGTTATATTTATATTTAAATTATTTTCAAAATCACAAAATCATTCATTTTTTCAAACCAACGAAGTTTAAAAAATATATATATAAAACGGCCGACAAGCTCAGATATATATTTGTACTCGAGGGTCGTCGAAGGCTACTCGATCACCCGGATGTATAAAGTCTGCCACTTAACTAAAAGGGTGTTCTATCGAACACGTCCTACTGAACCTAACTTAGGGAGGGTACTCCTTAGCCCAAACAGATAATCAACAGGTGGACAACCAATGTTTAAAATGCATTTAAAATTTATATTTTTAGCATGCACATAGATTTCAGGCATACAAAAAAGGATTGTATCAATTTTGTTTGTAGCGAAAAAATATTTTTTTATTTAGAAAAAGGTGTATATGTTCTTGTCAAATTTGTTTTTCATCAATTTTGAAAAGTGTAGTTGTCCACGAGTCGATCACGTTGTCGAGCGTAGAACCCCAGCAACCTAAGAAGGTACGGGTCAACTCCCGCTAGTCTGATGTCGGTGAATGATATGACATCCTACGGTTCACCGGGTCCGTGGAGGGGTGTCCCGAAGTTGTAGGATGGAACATCATTATGCTCTATCACCGATTTGTCTTTGTCATCACCGCCCTAAGCCCCAAAACAAAACCGACCTACTTGCGACATTGCTTGATGATTTCACGTATAACAAAAGGCTATACGTTGACACTTATGTATCGGACATAAGCATAAAAAAACGAACCAAGAAGCAAGGAAAAAAAACAAAAATGAGGTGAGAGAGAGGAGACACTGATCCACCTAAAACACTGAAAAAACGGAGGATGAATCAGTTCCCAAAACTCATGACGAAAAGACTTGAAAAAGTAGGGCCCAAGGTCCTTGAATCAATCCAAAAGGATGGCATTTTCTCGCTTTATTAGAATTGGATCAACCCAAGGACGGTGTCCTTTCCAAATCTTGTTTCGAACGAGTCAAAACGGGCCCGAACCGACGCGACGATCACCCACAAATGACCTCCCCGACATCGATGTCTAACCTCCAAAAACATCTTTCATAGGCTCAATTTGACTCAGCTAAATGCTCTCCCAAATAAAAAAAAACTCGTAAATCATCCAAACCCAACAAATCAAGCAAAAGGAAAGTGACCCGGGGGAAACCACCACTAGCATTTCCAAACCCATATCAAAATTAAGGTTTCCCAACTCCCAAATTAATCAATAGTTTCATATATCAAATAAACATAGAGTCTTCCAATAGAGCCACATAAATGCTTAATAAATGCTCACGGCCGGGGTCAATAGAGAAGAGGAAGCAGCCACCAAGGCTCTCAGCTAAGTCCACCAATAGAAGAAGGCACTCACGGCTAAGACAAGAAACAAGGCCAAAAGAGGGTAGAGGGTCACGGGTAAGGCCAACAAAAGCACAATCGAGCTCCAAACTAGCTTACGGGTAGGAGTCAGAACAAACCAAACTAAATTTCATATAGGGAAGCTCACGACCACAGATGGCAAGCGGGAGCCCACACAACATAAATCCACAGGTGGG